CCCAAGACTGTTTTTATTGATCATTTGTGAAAGTAAATCAAATTTAAATATTCATCAAAATAATATTGATTGTTTCAAATGACTTGAATAGAGTTTTCTCTTCAGAATTTAGGTTATAAGGTACTATATATTTAGGTTATAAGGTATTATATATATGGCTGCAAGTTTTTCTCCTCCATTTTACTCTTAATACAATATAACGATAAATAAGTTTTACGAAATGTTCTCTTGGTAGTCTTTGAAAAAAAAAAAAAAGAGAAGAAAAAACTGAATTTTAGATTTATCTATTTTATGTTTCAAGCTTGAAATTGAAACAATAGGGTTTATTATAATTTTGGCGGTACACGTGGCAGCTAGATTGACCAGAAGTCTGTTCATAAAAATTCCCAAATAGTCGCACAATAAACCAATCCATTCCTGTACGGCTCTACCCAAGTCTGCTCCTCCCGCGATCCCGCGGCTAGACTTGTACGGGGATGCCTCGCTATACAAACGAGCCCCCTGCGGTTCGCGTCTATACGATTTGCGATGAGTCAAGGTCTACTCCGCTTCTCTTATTTCTCCTTTGCGGAATCCAAGATCTATGCGGCTTATATTTACCTCGTTTCTTCTTTTCTTTTCTTTTCCTTTTTGTGAAATCCTGCAGGTATTTGATTGTGAGAAACGTTCCGGCATTGGGTTGCGGAGATGAGCTGCTCAAACTGTTCTCCTCCTATGGAAACCTTGAAGAGTACTCTTCTCGTTTCCGTTCTTTCTTCTATAATCATCTTTACATCCTTTTTCTGTAGCGCATTATGTTAGTTTACCTCAGCTGCGACATGTATTGCCATTTCATCTTGAAAGCAGTGTCGGATTGGTTTCTGATAATTTCATATGCCTCTCTTAAGAATATTCAACACCTCTTATGCCTACATATTTTCCTTCTATCTTATTTCATACTCCGACAGGTGTAAACCGATGGATGCAGAAGAATGTGATGAATTCACAGACGTTTATTTTGTCAAATTTCATTTGGTCAGCAATGCCAGGTAATTTCAGCTTGGTTGTGGTTCTCTTTTGATCAAAATAATGCGTTATTGAGCCAGTGTTTGAACCATAATATTTTAACTTTTAGGTTTGCAAAAAGAAAATTGGATGAGTTTGTTTTCCTTGGTAATCGGCTGCAAGTCTCCTATGCTCCTGACTTTGAAAGCTTGCTTGATACAAAGGAAAAGCTAGAAGTTAGGAGGCGAGAAGTTTTAGCACGATTGGATTGTAAGTTTGTGTTTGCGCAAAATGTAGGCATTGGCATATTTTGTGTATGATAGGAAGATGTTGTTTTAGGAGGAAATGGTGTTTCCTTCCAATAGGTTCACTTTTAAGCATGTTATAACTTTGCTATCAGCTGGAAGACCAAGAGGATCTGCCGTTAATTCAGCAACCACGAAGTTTACAAATCCTTCTCATTCTCATTACACTCTTGAACAGAAGAACTCTCTTGAAAAGAGGTATAAGCAGAATGAAAACTTGCAGTTTCTCCAATCGTGAGATAGTTTAAACTGTCCTTTTTTGGTAGGAATTATGGAGATGCAGCACTCAGTTCCAATCCACATGTGTCTCAAATAACAAGAGTTTCCTCTGACCAGGTTTGTTATCATAATTTTTTTTCCTTCTCTTGTCATCTCACCTTTTATGTTATGATTATTAACAAAGCTAGGAATCATTATTCTGTGTTCGTTTAGTTTATGCTTTCTCTTGTACTTGATGTATTTGGACGTAGTTCCATTACATGCTGCAATACGGGTACAAGGAGTTAAATCCAACAGGGTGCACGATTACTTTGAAAGGCAAATGAATGTGATAGGTGGGGTGATCTGCAATCAACGTAGTGTTATTTTACTTGATCGGAGGCTCTTCTTATATGCTGCCTCCTTTTGTGGACTCTCTTTTTGTATGTCTTTATATTCTTTCTTTTTCTTTTTGTTCTTTTCCTTAATGAAAGTTCGATTTCTCATAAAAAAGAAGGAAAAAAAGTATTTATCATCAACGTAGTCATGCCAATAGGCTAAAAATACTAACTACTGACTCCATAACTTGCCCCATCTATCATGAATGGTAGGTACATAGGTTATTCAGTGACTATTGTATTCTAATTTTTGGTTTTTTTCATTTCCTCATTTTGTTTTTCAAGAATTCGAACTAACGTGTCAATAGTTGTAATATAGTAACCATCAATTCCTCATTAACAGAGTTCTTAAGTGTTGGTGCTTCAAGTCTCTCATTAATGCATAGTTCACCGAGTTGTTAGACTTTTGACCTAAGATGTCTTTTGCATCTTGGTCAGATTTGTGTGTCGATAGATTTAAAACAAAGCCGTTTATTTGGCTAAGAATACCAAACCACTTGGCATTCCATTGGAGGTTACCCAAACATCAATATTTGAATCAAAATTCTACTCTAGGCTCCTCATCAAATTCATTGTTGAAGATATTTTCATCAGTTTTGACTACCTCTTCAAAATTATCTTTAGAATTATTTTTCTCCAAATTCCATACCCAATGCCACAAATTGTATTATATTGAAGAGTGTAGTAGGCTTCTAACTCTGGGCAATGACGAAGGTTGGAGAGGCCTACGTTTGTGTACTGATGGCTTGCACCTTGAATCAAAACGTGATTCAACTAAAACAATATATATAAATTGTGGACTCCTTGGGCTTGAGGACTTTGGAAATCAACTAGGCTTGTTATCCTTGCTATCAGACTGGTCGAAGGTTTAGATGACTGATATGTATCTCTAGTCTTTAGGGCTTCTTTAAAATATATGTTATAATCTCACTTTAGAGAGAGAATAGAAATCAGGTTCACCTTCTTATGGTAGTTATTACACCATCGAAAAGAAATGGAGAAAATAAGTCCTTGACATTCATTGCTGTCAGATTTCTTTACTGTTAGTCGAACTTTATTTTCTTTTGCCCTTTTTCTCTGGAATCAGGGATTTGGTGACCTTAAGTGAGGAGGGGAGAGAAAGGTCCAACTACGCATTGGAGAAATGAGCATGATGCAATAGTGACTTCTCGTTGAACTCAGATTTGAAGATTTGAAGATAGAGTGGCTTAGTTTCCATATAGAATTTACATACATGCATATATACACGCGCACACATGCACACATACATGAAGCAAATGCCTCTTGGTGTGAATCAATGGTGAAGAAGATGCACTTTTGCAATGTAATAGATATTGACCTGGTGGGTGGAAATTAGGGGTAGGGGCTTAATTTTCTTTAGATGAAGCAAGAGCTTCTTGGTGTGGAACAAGTGTGTAGATGTTCGAGGACATGGTTTTGCATCCAAATGTGGACAAAAGATTTTTTTGGTGGCAGGTCACACCACCCCCAATATCTCAACTCCATTCTTCGTTTGTGGTTATCCTTCATCTTTAGGAACAACCCAAGATATATATATATATATATATATATATTGAGTTCAGGAACAACCAAGACTCTTTGATACCAGATTATTGCAATAAGATTTTGTGATTAAGTCAAAATTATCACAAGGGGAAACCATTGAAACTGTCTAAAGTCTAAATTTTTTAATTATAAAAAAACTTCCAAGATAAACCAAGTATGGGCTATTCAACTTATAAAAAGATAAGAATAACTAGTGAATCACGAATGAACTAATCAACAGAATTAACTAACTGACATCAACATCTAACTAATTATCTAAATCAAAATAACCTAATTAGACTAGTCATAAAATTACTTGTTTCCTACTCTGCTTTCTCCTTTCTTTCTTGTTGTTGTAGATGATGCCTATGTGCTAATTTTTTAAAAGGTAATTTTGTTTTATCACATTTATGTTTATCGGGTTGAAGTCTGCATTAAAGGAGTGCAAACTCAGGGTTTACCAAGTACTCTAGATCATCTGTTCTATTGGAGACCATGCTATATGCCTTTATAGATTTCTTGTTGACACACTTGTTAGTTGCAGTTGCAGTTATGTTCAGTATACTTTCATTTATCAGTTTCAGGTTATTAATAAGTGCCTTTTTATCGTCCTTCCTCGTTTTTTCCCTGAAATAAAATCAGTCTTGTTAAGACGGGTAACCTTTTTCTGTTGGACCTCTTGACTTGATTTTGTAGATTTTCTCTTCTTTGATTGTTTTAAGCACGTTCTTCATTGTTAAGGTTTAATTCCCTTTGGTTAGCTGTAGAGCCATGTACTCTTTAGTTATATTTGTGAGTTTTGCCCTATTGATTATTTTTGATGTACATGTCTGATTGATGTTGGTTGGCTGGCCCATCAGATAATGGCTTTTGAATCTTCTTGTTTCTGGTTGAATGTATGGATTGAATGTTTGTGGACGTTAGTTCTTTTCTGTATATATTCCTGTCCTTGTTGCGTAGCCTGTTGTAGTTTTTCTTGTGGCTAAAAATGTCACTTTTTTCTCGTGTACAGGATTACTTCGCATCTGAATCTATGAATCAAACTGTGCATCTCGTCAGGGAAAAGCTTGATAAGGTTAAAAAATTTATGTATCATACTATCATTCTCCACATTTGCGCACATTGTGATTTAATCATTGCTTACTAACTTTGTGCTTTAGATTCAATCATGCAGCGAACATCTGGAAGCTGGACCTGTGAGCAAGAGATCACGTGTGGATAATAGGAGAAGAATCTAATGCTTGCCGACCTTTATAGAGACGGCTAATGGGTGCCTCAACGTTGCACCAAACGCTACTTTGACATATCACATATACGCAGATTAGCAGTGTGCAAATTTAACTGTGATGTTTTATTATAAAGGTGATTATTTTATTACAAAGTTCTGTAGGGGAGAGTTTTATTGTAATCACTACTCTAGCCCATATTTACAAGCACATTTGCAATATCTTTTTTTTATATAGCTAGCGATAATAAAATGGACTATTAGAGGGGTAATGACAAATAAATAATGAATTTACCGACAAAAAATTAGTTCTACGGTATGTGCAAAAACAATGCGATCGTTCTTCATGCTAAGACAAGGAGTACGATATGGCCCCAGGTTTTCAACCATTCAAACTCAATTTTCCAAACGAGCAACACCAGCGTTCACTTGAGTGATTTTGAAAAATAGTGCAGGTATATATCATACAGACGGAAGGAAAACAAGATTTTCTTTGGCGCTTTGGTAAAGATTTTAATTTAGGACAAGTACACTTGGATACCTGCCGTTTTGATCAACTGACAGACAGGACAGACATTTACAAGTCCATCGCAATCTCTACACAAACATAAATGTCTGCAAGGCATAAGTAGGATGGAAACCTCTTTAGCCTTGCATGCTTTGCAAATCATGTGCTCCTTGAAACCTGGTAAATTGCTGGTTGAAGATTTCATAGTCCCACCATGAACATTAAGGTAATTGTTTGGATCAATGTGTGAGGCAGCATCATCCACTTCACTATCTCCAAACCCTTCCTTCGCTTGGTCGGCACCCTGCGAGATAGCATGCTGAAGATTGTTTTTCAGGACATTCACTACTGATTCATTGTACTTTGCTCTGCAATGCCAATTTTGGGCTTCAGTGGCAACCTGCTTTATTCTCTCCACCAGTTCTCTATTTTTACGGTTCATGCTCTCAATTTCTACATCCTTCTCATGTAGTTTCTTTCCAATTCCTTTCTCAATCGCACTAAGAAAGGAAGCCATATGTCTTTGCTTCATGTCCCTAATACCCTTTGCCAAATGTTCCTCCTGTTGGCAAGGTAGATGGTAAGTTTAAAACATCGGTCAATTGAATCAACTAAATTGAAGGATGATGCTTTAACATGAACACCCAATTTACAGGCGTAGTGTGAAGTGATTGCTATAGAGAGTAATACGAAGTACATGAACAAAATTAGACATTGACAAGAAACATCTTCCAGAAAATAACATCACAGATGCAGCATAGAATAAACTCCTAGAAGCACTGAGCAGGTTAAAAGTACCTGAATTTTAATATATTGATCGAATTCTTCCTTCTGTCTATCAATCTCAGTCCTGATATTATCACCAAGCGAAAAGATGATGGAAGGTGCAGCTGCCATACTTCCACTTGCAGTGGTAACTGAGGAGTTGTGTTCATCATCATCATACGATAGCCTCAAGCCTGTTGATACAGCATTTGGGTTTCTAATGCTTGCTGAACGATCAGCATCATCTTGACAGGCATTATAATTTAAGGAAATCTGAAGCTTCTGCTGCCATGAGAAATCCTCTATCTCCCTACTTCTTTTGTTAGGGCGAAGCATATGAGCCAATTGCTCACTTCCAAAATAATTAACAGGCTCAATTCCACAGCTAACAGGCACTGCAATATAAATTGTGAACTATATGAGAACCAAGAGAACTAAAGATCATTCATCAAGTACTGATTGATCTTCCAAATATTCATCAGACTTGAATTGTAATTCAAATCATTTAATCTAGTTAGACATAATCTATATAAAAAAAAATTGTATGGAATTCATTAAGTTAAAATCAGATTTCTTAGAAACAAAAACAACTTACCACTCCCAAACAACTGCAGCTGGCCAGAAGCATTAGTTTGATATTGATTTCGATTTTCATCCTGGAAAACGGGAAGCAAGCCATTGCCATTGTTGCCACCCAACATTTTCTCCAGAGAACTGGTGGACTTCAGATAATGTGAAATTTAAAATACCAACAGTAATGAGGGTTCACAGCCTGCAAAAGCAGACAACAGTCTTAATAATCTATTTCAATGATAGAATTAAAATGACAAGAAAAAGGACAACATTATGAACTATTACACTACGTGAACATATTTTTAGTATAACTGGGGTATGGGGATTTAAACCCCCAACTTCAAGGAAGAAGTACATGTCAATTACTGATAAGTTATGTCCACTACATAAGCATGAGACATGGCTTAGACACTAAACCATATCAACTACAAATCATTTAACCAAGAGGGGGCGAAGGGGTTTAATTGGAAAAACACCTGACGAAATAAGAGGATTGACGCAGCCAATTCACAGAAGTGCAAAAATTCTTGGATGAAACAAGTTCTAAAACATTCTTGGCATTGTCACAAAAGCTTATCTATTAAACTCTTCCCAAATACAATAAAACAATACAGGCCTCAATCTCAACATCTCCTATTACAATATATGGGTTAGATGTTCCACGACTTAATTCGGTATTTGAAACTCCAATAATGAGGAATCAGTAATCTTATAAAATCCAGTTATTCGGAACATTAACTTAGAATAACAATCCATCCGAATAAGTGAAAATACGAGAAACTATCCATCGTGAAATCAACCTTGATAGCAGAAAGTCAAACATAAATATAAAATTGAAGGCAAGCACGATTTTCAGAATAACACTAGAAAGACATCAGATCAGAAGAAAATCTCAGAAGTTCAATCACAGAACCATATCCAGATGGTCAGAAAAAACATCGGCAGGGACGGGCACACGGTAAAGAAGTGGAAAAACAGGATGAAGTTGAATGTATCAGAAGTGCGGGGATCTCTAAAACAGGAAAGTTAGAAGGATTGATGAGCAGGTTTGACCGGAATCGCATAATGAAATTAAAAAGAAAAAAGGGATTAAATAAGAAAAGAACAGACAGTGTAACAATATGTTTAGTTCAGATCATCGTTCAGGGATTTATTAGGAATAGGAAGTTTTGCTTGCGAGGCAGGAGTTTAGCAAGGATGCGAACAAAAGGTAGGTTATGAAACATGGAAGGAAAGGTGAGAGGAAATACCTGAAGAAGGAAGTGAATTGGGCAGTATCAGATGAGAGGAAATATCATCTCCAGATCCTGGCATACAACAATCCACACAGATTCATCCACACAATTGGCAGCAGTAGAGATAAAAAGAAAAAAGAAATGAAAGATGGAATACCTTGAAGATGGTATATGCAGAAGAAGAAAAAGAGAGAGAATGAAGAAGGAAGAGGATGAAGAAATATATGGGGGAGAGGGGAGAGAGGGGAGAGAGGGGAGAGAGGGATGGAAGGGTTTTGGAGCGGTAACCGACGAAAAGGAAGAGGAAGAAGAAGAAGATGAAGAAGAAGAAGAAGAAGAAGAAAAATTATAGGAGAGAGGGAAGAGAAAATAAGGGAGGTGGTGCGGTGGGAGTGCAAAATTTATTCGAATCAAATGAATGAATCGGTGGTAGTGGTTACGCAAACGGATTTCCGTTCCTTTTTTTTTATATTTTTATTTTATTTTCCTTTTTACGAAACTCGAATTATGGAAGCCATTCCCAGGGGAAGAAGAAAATTAGAGGTGATAATATCCCAACCCACGAATTTAACTCACCATCCCCTGGACCCCACCCACTCTCCATTTCCCCCCCTTTTTTGTTTTTTCTAAATACAATTTGAATTTTACATAACTGCCCCTGCTCCTTTATTTTACGGCATTCGGTAACTCCTTGAATGTTATTTTTAGCGGTTGGGTCATACCCAAGGTTGAACGTGATTGCTCAGTATGCTGTACAGTTGGTTTGTGAATTTGAACATCCCCTCCCCCAGTAATATATTATTATGCTTACTACGAAAACAAGACATATAAAATCATTATTTTAAAAAATGTATAGAATGAGAATTAGAGGGAGAGAGCGAGAGCGAGGAAATGGAAGGGGAGGATTGGTGGGGTGTGAGAGTGAAACGATGAGCGTAGGAGGAGGAGATGGTGGGTAGGAGCGAGGAGTTAGGAGTTAGGAGAGGCATTAACTATAAATAAATTATTGAAACCACAAAAGAAGAGAAAAGAAAAGAAAAATAAATAAGGGAGGGGCGGGAAACATGGCCTTGGGCCTTCCCTCCACTCCTTGCCCGGGCCCACATCTCTTTTTTCTTTTTTCTTTTTTCTTTTTTCTTTCTTCTTTTTGGCGCGCAATTGCAACAATTGCCTTTGCCCTTGCATTTCTAGCGAAGCGACAGCCTGCTGTGCTCACGGATCTCCATTCCCCGATTTGCGGGTCACCATTCTAGTCCCCATTGCATTTATTATTATTATTTATTTTTACTTCCATATCCGAACCCTTTTTATTCATTCACTCGCTTTCCCCCCTTTTTCTTGTTTTCCAATTTAATTTCAGAGATTCAAATATGGAGTGTAGATCCAGGTCAATAATACAATGCTTTAACTTGTTAGGTAAATAACTCAAAGTTGACTATATTTTTATTTGCCTCCCCTCAAAACTCTTTTTAAATACCCAATGCCACTAACTACTTCACAACTAGCACAACAAAAAAACCCCCTACTTTTTACTGTTGTGTGTCCAAGCTATAAAAAGAGCCTGTTAATAGAAATGGAGTTAAATGGGAAAGAGCAGCCTCTGTTTGTGTTTGGTGCACATTGACATGCATATTTGATATGAATGTAAAAGGTCAATTTTGTTGACGGAGAAGCCGAAAGGAGAAGAGGACAAAACCGGACTCCGGACACAACGCGGTGGATGGGCCTCAATCGGCGTGCCCCTCATATTCTATTCTTTCCCACTCAAACAAACACGTTTTGTTGACTAATTCACCAACCCAACAAATCCAAACCCTACCCAAACCATCTTCAGCCATGAGTGTGTAAATTGTACATCCTCTGGGCTCTGCTTCAGTGGGCTCGCTCACATTCTTCTTCTCATTTGCATTGCCTAAGCCCCAACTCCTCGGCCTAGTTTTGCAGCCTTGAAGGGAAATGCCCATTGCTAAATGGGCTGATAGATCAAAGCCCAACCAAAAAGGATATAAAATACCAATGCCCACCGATGCGGTCAATGCGAAGCTAAACCCTTTCCCTTCCCTTTCAAGCCCTAGAAACTACCATCTTTCCCTCCGAGGGCTGACCAGAAGGGGAAGATGATCATCCCAGTGCGTTGCTTCACCTGCGGAAAGGTAAGCCATGGACAACTATATTCAAATTTTAATTTTAACCATCTTCTCAGAATTGCGTATTCATGTTTCCTCTATCGTTAAACGTGCGACTGGTTTCGGTTTGCTGCATACGAGATCACAAAGTTTTCAATTTAGTATCGACTCTTGCAGTGACGCAGTTTTTAATCTTTTTTTCAGGTGATTGGAAACAAATGGGATCATTACCTCGATCTTCTGCAGGCGGACTATTCAGAAGGGTAAGGAAGTAACACGTTCGTTCTTCTCCTTCTTTTCCCCTTTCATACTTCTTGTCATCACACGTGTCTGGTTTTTAAATTTATCTCTTGAATTCATTCTTGATTTTTGAACGTTGCACTTGCTAGTGGACGAAAGTATACCCTTTTGGGGATGCTAATGCTTTTCTTTTTCCTGTATTAGGGATGCGCTTGATGCCCTGGGCTTGGTTCGCTACTGCTGTAGGCGAATGCTCATGACTCATGTTGACCTTATTGAGAAGCTTCTTAATTACAATAGTAATCCCTCTTTCTTTTCTCTATGTTCGTGCACGAGTTGTTAAATTTGCAATGTACAATCTTTTGCCTACTGCCCTTTCACACTTGAATTGCTGTTGTTTTCAGCTCTGGATAAGTCTGATCCCAGTTAGGCGGGGGACAAGTTTGCTGCTTATTCAGTCCAGCAGTGATTCATGTTTTTACCGTGTTCGCGTCCAGTTAAGAGAGAAAAGAACTATGGAAAGAATAATTACAGGACCAGAGTTCAGCTAATGTCTTGGAGTTCGGTTATTTAATCTTCTATTCTATGTGTTTATTAGTTTTTAGGAGTTATTTATCAGTTGAGTTGGTTAGAAAAAACGGATGTAGTCTGTCTATATCTGCATTATTGCATCTACAATCCTATTAATACAACTATCAGCTGTTTTTGCTACGCCATTTGTTCTAAATGCTTATAGTTTTTGGTTTCTGAATGTCGATTAGCTGATGAGGCATAAAAGATGGTTTGTTATCTTCCCACGTGCTCATAAGCTTTAGTTTGACCTGCATATTGTTTCCTTCATTCATTTGATAGGGGAATTTATTTTTCCTCAAGCTTTTCACTCCAAAACCTTTTAAGGGAAGTCTATAGGAAAGGGAAAGCCCAAAAAAAGACCATTATCTACTGGTTGGTTTGGGCCTGTACAATTTGAACTTTTTCTTTGATCTTCAACATATTTTGCAGACTGTTCAGACCTATGAAAGTGGTTTGCAAAGTGCGATTTAGTCTTACAGCTATATTTTACATTTTGTTAGAAATTATTTGATCTTCGCCAATGACATCCTTTGTGGGTGATAACCTGTGTCAATAGTTTGAATGTCCAGTACTAAAACTAAGGACTTGGTTTGTAATTGTTTTTAGGGCAGGGTCGTTGCTCCTCAGAATAGAATTTTGTGATAGCATGAATAGAAGAGAAGTACTGTGGAATGAATATAGTGGTAAGTACACTGAGTAATATCAGATCACTACAAACTCAAATTCAGTCAAATTGATGTAATAAATGGTTGCTCATCCTTCAAATCACGATCAAGGCTTTGAAGGGACTATATTCTTTCACAACACAAGGAAGTTGAGGATTGGAAACATGAACTTGAAGGATTGTCACAGCGCAAATCACTCCCATCCCATTTCTCCGCGTGTATGTTGAATATGGAGACAACGTGGGCAACGACTAGACACTAAAAACTTATCCATCCCCAGGCTCACCTTTGAAATGGGTTTCCAATTTCTCTCAATGTTGTTGTGACCATTCATTTTGAAGGCAGCTGATCTTAAATAATGGGATCAATCAACCATCAATGCGTAGCTGTAATTTGAATGCCACTTGGGAGACAGTATATGAACTTAAAGAGGGTGTTAAATTATTGGGGCCAAAGGGGTGGAGAGATTTGCGTTGTTCCTTTTTTATCTCTTTCATTTGGATCGGGTGTACCCATCATTTGGATTGCTTCTCCTGTTTCCGCCCTTCACTCGGATATCTGTGGATAATATAATATGGTCTTCTCGCCTCTTACTTATTCTCTTGTCATAAAAAGCTCACAAATATCATCTACTCCTCTTTGGCGCTTGTGAAGCTTTCGCTCCTTTCTCATCTCCTATTCTCTCTGGATTCAACATCATCTCCCTTGAATGTACTTATATTCTATTGGTTTTGTCCAATTCCTATACAGAGATTTAAAGGTATTATGTACCCTTACAGCCACCAGTTTCTTCCCTGTTTTCATTGCCACCCCCAGGCCTATATCCGGATGGTACTGCCTCTCTCTCTCGCTCTCTCTCGCTCTCTCCATTGGATTGGATATATATGTATAATTATACAAAAGTAAGTTGGTAATGAGTATAATTTTGAATATTGCAGGTCCAACACCTGATAGAGAGATGCTTGCTGCTTCATATGAGTCGAGATGAGTGCGTGAAGGCATTGGCGCACCATGCAAACATTCGCCCTCTCATAACACATACAGGTCCATAATACTCTTTTAACTTTCTTCGTTTAAATCAAATTAATTGAGGTTTTGGGGTTTGTGTTTTGTGTTTTGTGGTTGCGCCTCACAGTGTGGAAAGAGCTTCAGAAAGAGAACCCCGAATTCTTCCGGGCATATTTCCGCACTATTTCTCGCCATCCATTCCTCAGTATGTTCCTTCCCTTCCTACCTCCAAAAAATTATTCAAAAAATCTTTCCTTAAACTCCTCAGTCTGGCATATAACATCATGAGAACCTCTAATAACCAAAATAGGCATATGTTTTGTTCTTAAAACATTCCACTTTTTATGCTATCATTAACAACTGTTAGTGTAAAGTAAGAGAACAGGTTTAAACCTACTTCTTTGATCATTGAATAAATACTGGATGAGTTTAAGTGATCCCAAATTTGGACCCATGTACAGCCAAATTCACGAGGAGGAGTGTGTCCAGAATCATGAGAAGGCAATATCAGTGGAGGTGACCCATTTCAAAAATGGAATGTTTCAATCACGGATTGTTCTATAGTTCAACTAGTTGAGATGTATGTAGATTAGGTAGTAGGTCTGGAGAGTGTGATGGTTGTTATCACAAAGGCGTGCATATGGTCCAAGGCATTGTTGCAGAAGCAAGGAGAGAGGTGGAGCATTTTATGTGGACTGCCTCCGCCTAAGAGGAACTCCACCCCCCAAACAACTTTCTGATTTTGATCAATAAGCCTTTAGTAATTGAATAATACTTATTTTTCTGAAATAAATAGAGCATTGGTTGGCAAAGGACAAAATAGAAGCCTTTTAATTAATAAACTCACCAGTTGTCAAGCTTTTTAATTAATGCCCTCATTAATAGAGTCAGCCTCATCAACATCACTCAAAATAAGGCTTAATGCCCACTTTTAAGAGTCTACACATTTTCAAGATTAAGGCTGTTCATATTTTCTATTTTTAAAATACAATAAAATAAAATAAACCAAATTATTGGAGTGTTGAGAAGGAACGTAATTGCATAGAGAAGTATGTGGAGCTGGGATTCACATTTTAAGCAGCGCCTTATTATTGGTTTATTAAAGTGGGTATCCAAATGAGGAGGTGATGTATGATGGAGAAGGTGGATGTAATCTCTAAGCCTGCCTTCATATATTGAAAGCTAAAACACACACACACATGTAGACATGAAATGAAATTAGAAGCATTACAATTTAACGATATGAAGACATGTTGAGTGAGGGGTTTGAATTAGTTTTGGTGGAAAGGGCAGAGACCCATCTGAATCTGAATCTCAATCTCAGTGGTATCCATTCAATTGCTGAAAACAGAGAGAATTGCAAGTAATTACTCATAAATTCTTAATTAAGTGCGACTCCATTTCAGGACGTGGTCGTTGGCTTTCCTTTCTTTATGACCCAACTTTTCCAACTCTTCCTCTACGCAAATGGTAAACACTTTTCCCTTTCTCTTCATTACTCAACATAAATGTTTTGTCTACTCATATATAATCTGTGTTTAAATAATCACGTACCCTACCCCATTTCATTAACTCCCTCATTCGCTGTATTATTTACCTGATTAAGCTCTTTCCCTTCCGCCCGCTCCCCTCTCCCCTCTCCCCTCTCCCCTCTCCCCTCTCCCCTCACATTACGTTTCTCTTCCTCCCCACGTGATCTCCTTCGCCATTGACTGGAGGGAGATGAGCCCACTGCATGCAACAACCAAACCAATTCTCAAACATTAATTAATTAATCAACAAACAAACAATGCTTCTTTCTTACATTCTTTGCCGCTGTCTTGAATGCCTCCTTATGCGCCATTCCCGGGTTCTCCGCTTTCAGCCTCCGAATCTCCTCCCTGCGTTGGTTGCACGCACCATATGCATGAAATACCATTCTTTTTTTCCTTATCAATACTATTATTATTATTGTTATCTTACTTGATGAATTGGTTATAAGCTGACGGGGCTCGCTGTTTCTTCTCCGGGGCTAATAATTATCAGAGGCCACAATCAAAAGCCAGATAAAATTCAAATAATAATGATAATACTATATTGTCCATGGAGGCGTACGCTTGTTAACAACTGGAGTGGGTGGAATGATGATGGCATCGTCATCATCGTCTTCGTGATTTTGGATAATGTTGTGGTACGAGGTTAGGAGGTCGGACGTGTTGTTGAGGTTGTCCAAGCACAAGTGTTTCTGGACGTTCAAGTCTTGGAAAGGCTCCTTTGGCTGTCAATTTTGAATGATTAAGAACATGTTTTTGGAGGGAAACCAAATGAAATGAAGAGGGTACCAACCAAGTTGTGAGAGAGGGAAGTGAGAAGATCAAAAGGGATAAAAGAGGGCTTGGCCATGTTGACGGAGAGGAGGCCAGTGCAGTTGCCGCATCTTACGCTCACCACCATCGACAAGTTGCTGTATGGCACATTTACCTGTTTGTATAATACAATACTATTGTTAATTCAACACTTCCAAACAAAACTACAATATATAATTTTATTGTAATATGATCCTACCAACAATATGGTGCTACAAAGACCACATTGCACATAGCGAATCTGTTCAGAGGGGTCGGGCAGGAGCTGTTCCAGTGTGGACGACATATCAACGCCTTGTTGTGTACAAACTACAAACAATTGATAAAAGAGAGATGAGGAGCTTTGAGTATGTCTGTGACACAACGGCAACTCCAATTTATAGCTGATTTCGGTGGACGCATTATTATTTCATCATTCTCAAATAGTTTACTGCCCTTTCAATTAATGAACTCATTGTGTCGTTTTCTCACTAAGATTCTTTTATCATTTAATTCTATATTTATTTTAAATATGTTTTCAACCCTCAACTAGCTGCCCCATGGACAGGGAGGAACCACAGGTTATGTCCATAACTCTTAATATATCACTAAAATTTAACATATATTATCGATAGAGAGGTTGGTAAGCTAAATTATATATTTTAGATATAAATAAGGTTAAATTCGCTTTTAAAAATTTTAAATTGGTGAAAAGAGCTAGATACCGTTGACTTCGTATTAGAATTTGGGCTGGGCTTCTTTTTTAATTTTGTTCAAACCCAAATGACGTGTGATTGGGCTTGTAAGTTGTGCAAGCCCAAAGCATTGAAGTATGTGTTTCTCCGGATTCAGTCCAGCAGCTTAAGAAATTGGTTATTTTGGAAACCACCGTGCCCTTCACTTCGAACACAAAGTGTGCAACAGAACGTGGTCAATATCCATTTTCTTCTCAACCGTCTGAAGGCAGCGTGGGTGAAATTTCTGGGTTTTTTTGGTGCGAGAGTTTCTGAGTGTTGGAGTCGTCCCCAACTCTTTGAATTGTACTCTGTTCTAGAGATTGAAGTTAATAGAGGATTGTTTTCACTTTGCTCAGAGGGTGTAGACCTCATTTGGATTGATATGGTTTTAACTTTTAAGAGTGATGAACTAAAATTTGGGTTAACCATTAGAGCTCCTATAGACTAATAAGAGGCCCAAGACCTGGTTCCGACCATGAGGACAGACTCGTTACTGGGAGAAACAAATTTGACGTAATTTCGGCACTAATTTGAGAACATAACACTTCATAACATCTCTGAGTAAAAACAACCAAACAATCAGAAATTGAAAGATGCTTCAAATATATGAACCAAATCTTGAGCATCCAGCGTCTCCAAATGTAACACAGTTCATGAAAATAGATCAATTTGATCATTTGAAATCCTAGTATTGTCCCGAAAAAATGATTATCATAACAAGCAATTTCTATCAAAATGTAGACATAAAATAGACCTAATCGCCGCCGGGCTTCTGATATACGTAAGTCAAACCACACTTGCCACAGTAATGACGATCAAAATGATTGGCCATAAAGGTACCAGCTCCGCATTCAGCGTTAGGGCACTCTTTCCTAAGCCTCTGAACCTTTCCAGAATCGTCGACCTTGTAAAACTGAAGAACGGCGAGCTTGACCTTCTTCTTCTTGTGCTTAATCTTCTTAGGCTTGGTGTAGGTCTTCTTCTTACGCTTCTTAGCACCACCACGGAGCCTTAACACAAGATGGAGCGTGGACTCCTTCTGGATGTTGTAGTCGGCAAGAGTTCGACCATCCTCCAGCTGCTTACCGGCAAATATGAGACGCTGCTGGCCCGGCGGTATTCCCTCCTTGTCCTGAATCTTTGCCTTGACATTGTCGATGGTATCAGAACTCTCGACCTCGAGAGTTATGGTCTTCCCGGTAAGCGTCTTGACAAAGATCTGCATATTGTTGCAGTCGCAGGCAATTAGCGAGGCGACGAGGGGAAATTGAGAGATTAGGGCTAAATCTGATGCGAAATCTTTATATACCGGAATTAGGTTTGTTGGGCGGGTTTTCGGGAATGGGTCAGGAAGCGGTTGGGTTGATCAGCATTTAATTGGGTTCATGGATGTAGCAGGCTGGGCTTTATGGCCCAAAGTATTCAGGCCCGTTTCATCACTTTGATAACTTTGCAAAATAACGCATTAAATATTTGAAGCTTGAAATTGAAACAATATGGTTTATTATAATTTTGGTGGTACACGTGGCAGCTAGATTGACCATAAGTCTGTCCAGAAAAATTCCCAAAAAGTCGCACATAAACCAATCCGTTCCTTACGGCTCTACCCGAGTCTGCTCCTCCCGCGATCCCGCGGTAAGAGAAGGAAGGAAGGCCCCATTGCTGCACTTATTCCTGCACCTGCGGAGTTCTTCTACCTAACACAGTTTCTCTACCTAACACAGTTTCTCTGTACAGCTTTTAACTCTCCTTTCTCTCAAATCATCGAAGGAAGCAAAGCATCTCCCTCTTTATTGAACTCTCTGTTCCCTTCCCTTTCATTTGCAGACCGTAAGCCCCACGCCTTCCTTTTTTATTGGTACGAATACTTTGCTGGTCTTCTTGCCTTTCTAGTTTTGTAATGATCGCCTCTGTTTCGATTCAATTGGAGCAATCTAAAGTAAAGAATTAGGGAATCCCTCTCCCCCTATTTCCCTTTTCTGTGGACTTCTAATGATTGTGATATTTCTTGTTGGATATATGAGTTTAAACCATACTTCTTGGTGTTGTTTATTGAGTTTCAAGTCATTCTTTTGTGGTTGTTTTTTCTTTCATGCACATGGATTCGCTTCGTTCTAATCTTTCCGTTTTCCCATTACAATGGTGAAAAAAACTCAATTGTTCAGAAAAGATCTGTTGTTATGCTCACAAAAATCATTTTCGATGACTGGAGTTGATTTTATAGTCGTTGTTCCTCCTTGTTTGAACCTGAATTTGTCTTCCACACACGGTCATTGGGATCCATCTTACTTTCTTCGTTCCCTGCTCTAATTTTTTTTTTTTTTTTTTTGTTCTGTCTGAACCATTGATTTATAACTGTTTTCTTCAAGTTTAGACTATCTTTTCAGAGACAGCTACAATAATTGAATCGGATTTTCTGTATCGTGTACAATTAACCCATCATGAGTTTCTTAGCAGAATTTTCAGATCATACCTGGAAGCCTGTCATGACTACTGATACTAATACTAATACTTTAAGTTATTGGTTGAACTGGAGGTTCTTTTTATGTGCTGTCTTTCTATCAACCGCTATGGTAGTGGCATCCTTATTAATATGGAAATATGAAGGCTTCAAAAGACCCAAATCTGGGTCGAGAGATGATTCACAAGATTCAGCAGGGTCATTGTATGAAGATGAACTCTGGCGGCCGTGTCTGAAAGGAATTCATCCAGCTTGGCTGCTAGCTTACAGAATGCTTGCTTTTGCTGTGCTTTTCGGATTGATATTAGGTGACGCTGTTGTTGTTGGAGGCAGGATATTCTTATTTTATACTCAGTAAGTCATTTATACATCTCGTATTCTGGTACCATTCTTAACTGAATAGTATATTAAATGAGGACACCAGTATTAGGAACTATGAACCTCCACAATGGTGTGATATTGTCCACTTTGAGTATTAGCTCTCGTAGCTTTGCTCTTGGTTTTTCAAAATGCCTCGTAGCAATGGAGATAGTGTTCCTTACTTATAAATTCATAATCTTCCTCTTAATTAGCCAATGTGGGACTACTCCTCTCAATAATTCTCAACTACCCGTGCTTTGTCAAACAATCTTGTTCTTCTCATTATTCCCATGCATGTCAAGCTTGTTCTTCTCATCTTACATCAATATATTTAATGAAATTTACAATCATTGATTTAGATGGTATCCTTCTGATGTCTGTCTCGTATATTGCCAGAGAGGTTGCAAATTTATGTAGTTGACTATACGTAATAATCAACCTGCCATCTCAGGTCATCATATTTAATCAATTGATCATCTTGAATGTACAGAAAAAAAGTTACGAACTATTTTGACAACATAGGAAATGAAGTTAAACCATAGACTAACATATTATTTCGTGCAGGTGGACGTTCACATTGGTCACGCTCTACTTTGGGGTATGCTTTATAACTTTGAAAGCTACATTTCTGCTGGAAAATCCTGTTATACTTCCCTCACATTTAGTAGACACAAAGCAGGATGGTGCATACGTATGTTATATGCTTGGGACTTTGAAACTAGCCCTGTGCATAACATAACTACCATATCTAAAATAGTGATCCATCGTTTGATATATGTTGCACCATCTTATTATATATGAAAATCCTTTTGGTTGTTGAGGACTAGAGTAATCAGGAAAACAACCCTTAACATTCAATGAATTATTAAAATTCCATGGCCTAGTTTCCCTTTATCTGCAGGTTATTAACTAAGCTCAAATATTGTCATCTTGTAGCTTGCAACTTCATTCTCCATTTATGGTTGTTATAATAGTGGCAGCTCAGCCGAGCGTACAAGTTTAGATGCAGAGCGAGGCACTTATGTGCCGCCGACTCTTGGTGGGGAGAATCCTGATATGGCCAATACAGCCAAGAGTTTGAACTCCCCTGAAGATCTTCATGAACGCAAAGCTGCTGGTGTGGGTGGATATGCATTTCAAATTATTTTTCAGGTGATTATTTTGCTCCTAAAACTTAGCAGAAACAGCTTTTATGTTGAAATTTATGGATATACACAGGTTGGCAAAGTCTCGTACGTGCTATTAGTTTAACCTTTATTATTATTATCATCTTTCTCTTACATATAGAGAAGACAAAGTGGGTGCCCTGATGGTTCTTGCTCTCCGTTTTTTTTTTTTTTCTAGACATCTGCAGGTGCTGTAGTACTCACAGACATAGTATTTTGGTTCATTCTTTATCCATATCTTCTATCTCGAGGACGTGGGCTAAGTTTTGTAAGTATTTGTTTCTCTGTCCGACCTCTTGATCTGGCTTGTAGAAAGTCATTTATAGTGCTTATTTGAATTGGGTGGGGGAGATGCATTTTGTTTTGTTTGATTGATGTTGTGATATATTCACTGTTTGGCCACAGTTCGTTGTTACCATGCACTCGGTAAATGCTGTTTGTCTTCTTGGCGAAACAATCTTGAATGATTTGGTACGTTTGGATACTTCCTTCAATAGTCTTCTCTTTTGATACTCCATTGAGGTTGGATGATGATTTAAGGCTCTGCTTTGAACTGCAGCGATATCCACTCTTCCGGATTGGATATTTTGTATTGTGGACAGGGACGTTTGTCATTTTTCAATGGATCCTCCACGCTTTTGTTTCAATGCCGTAACTTTCCACTCCGCTCTAACATAATTTCCTGCAAAGATTCTACATGTTTTGATTTATTTTTACCTGCTTCATTGCAGGTGGCCTTATCCATTTCTTGATTTGTCACCCCCATCTGCTCCCTTATGGTAAGTATGAGTCTCTGCCTCTGACTCCAATGTCTTTGTACTTTTAGTAGTTAAGGCCATTCACTTTGCAGGTATGCTGGGGTTGGGTTGATGAATGTCCCTTGTTTTGGGGTCTTCGCTTTAGTGATCAAAATCAAGCAGTCTCTATTGCCAAAATTGTTCCCGTGAAACGCGAGATGATGATTGAAGCAGACGATCATCGAACCATGGGTTATGAAGCTTTGTTTTCCAGTGATCCCCATCATGTTTTGCTTCGAATTATCGAGCGAGGACGGTAATATTATACTCATACAACATACTGAGCGGCCAAACACGACAACGAAGTGCAAAAAAAACGCAGGCCTTGGATGGACTCATACTCTTAACAATGCTAGACGAAGGGTGCCAGCTTTTTTAGCCTATTTCATAGTTCAATAGAATCAAAACTCTTATCTTTTAGTTATAAATTGATTAAAAGCGGAGAGTATTGCAGAAAACAATAATTTTGGTTATATTTTTTTTATAAATCAAGGCAGAGACAGTCACCATGATATACGTTTTAATTCTCATGTAAATTCAAAACTTTTAGTAGTTCCAATTCTTCCGAAGGAGTAATAAATAGTATTAAAATTAAAATTAAATCAATTGTCCAACAATTAATTAACATTTAAGTAAGGTGAATGACTTTAGCCGTTACTAAAAACACATAATTAATTAAACCCTACCTAATTTTGTTGAAACAATGTGATTAAACAAATGCAAATGGCATTCAAGATGCAAACTCAAATTATTTATATGAAATTAACAAGTCGCGCGTTCAATGCCATTTAATATGACTATACTGTATGCATTTTTCTTAGACAAAATTATAATATATGCATTAATGTCAACTTAATAATGCTGAGAAATAATCAATGGAAATTTCATTTTTATAATGCACATTTTGCGACCGAGTCAGAAGTATTATAATAAATGGTCTTTCACCTCATTAAAACGTTGAAATTTTTTAAAACTAATATTTTTAACACTTTTTTTTTTCGATTTCTAAAAAAAAAAATATTACTTGAAAATTAACAAAACGAAAACACTGATTTTAATTGCTCTTTTTTACTCGAACGAAAACGACACCGTCACATGTTTCACGTTGAAGTCGCGGGACCGATGCGGAGGAGCACCACCGTTGGTTGCGAGTTGGGATTAAATTTCCTCAATTTTCGTTTTATTTTATTTATTATTAATGTAGTATGTATTTCTTTCCGGGAAAAAACCCCCCCACGAGTATCACGTGTCACACCACGTGATTCAATAAATTATATTACGGGTTCATTAAATAAATAAAATGCAATATAGAATAATGATGGATGAGAGTGAGCGGCAAAAGCGTCCACCCGTTAGTTGGGTGTTCTCATTGTCCTTCGCGTTCAAGCAATTCAGGTTCCCGCCGTTTGAAGCCATAGCTAACGAAACTACCCAACCAATTATTATTTTTTAATTGGTCAAATTTTAGAAAATTAATTTTAAAATGCTCTGCAACTATAAATACGACTGCCTTTTTAGAACAAACATTGTGCGGCAAATTACAGGCGGCCCCAATTTCGCAACTCTGATCCTTTCTCTACTTCTAATCCAAAGGTAACTAGATTTTCTCTTTGCTTTTTTTTCAATCCGCATTTCTGCATTTGAGTTCATTTCTCTGCAACCAACACTTGAAGGATCTGCTAGTGTGTCTTTGTTTTGATTATCCAATATGGAATGGAGTCAAGGATTCACTTCTTACCTTGGAAATGGTCTGATTGGAAGGTCTTCTCTGAGTGACTACAGGGTTTGAGAAATGGCTCGCAAGAAGATCAGAGAATACGATTCAAAGAAATTGTTGAAGGAGCACTTCAAACGGATCTCTGGTAGAGAACTGCCCATCCAATCCGCTCAAGTGAGTCAGTCCTGTTTCATTATTTTTCTAGACCTCAAAATTTTTAACAATTTTGTTCCTTGGCGTCGTCTTCACATTGTTGCATGTTGAGGTGTCTTATTCACTAGAAACAAGTGATTCAGTGAAGAATGTTTATCGTCTTTTCTTTTCTATTTTGTTACGCGTGAGTGCTGCGTGGAATCTTAGTTCCAATAACCCGAATCATCCTTTTTTCCCCTTTTAATGTTGTCTATGTTCGATTTTTTTTTTCTTTTCCGGCCTGAAATTTTCATCTGAACATTACCCAATCAGGGTTGATGTGAGTGTTATTCACCCGTCTGAATCCTTGGATTTGTTTTGATAAGAGGACTGCTTAAATAATCTATAGAATAAATCTTATCTTATCTAATGTTGCTATCCCTGTCTTTGCTCGAAGATCGACTCGAAATCATGAGAATGCATGATTCTGTCTCTTCATTTCCCCCTTTCTATGGCGATGTTGATTTTATAATGATTAAAATCTGACTCAGGTCACTGAATCAACTGATTTCAATGACCTTGTTGAGAGGGAACCTTGGCTTTCATCATCAAAATTGGTCGTGAAGCCCGATATGTTGTTTGGAAAGCGTGGGAAAAGTGGTTTAGTCGCCTTAAATCTTGATCTGGCTCAGGTTGCTGCATTTGTGAAAGAGCGCCTTGGCAAAGAGGTGTTGTATTATTTCCTTTTGTCTTCTTGAGCTATATGCTCATTATTATTGTCTGTTTTCTGTCGCCCATTTCATTTCCTCTCGCTCAGTGGTCCTTTTAATATGTTATTCTCTTTCATAACCAGGTATCAATGGGTGGATGTAAGGGACCTATCACAACATTTATTGTGGAACCCTTCATTCCGCACAAGGAAGAATACTATCTCAATATTGTCTCAGAGAGACTTGGGTGCAGCATTAGCTTTTCGGAGTGTGGAGGAATTGAAATCGAAGAAAACTGGGATAAGGTATTGCTGATGTTATTATTATTTTTTAAATTAAAAAGGTAACAATCTTTTGCATAAAAGTGCTCTTTCGGTTCAGGAATTACTCTTACTGTTGATTTCTCTCACCCCCAAATTTTACTAAGTTTCAGTGAAACACTCTTACATTCAGGTTAAAACCATATTTATCCCCACAGGAGTGTCTCTCACTTCAGAAACATGCGCTGAGCTGGTGGCAAGCCTTCCTTTGGAGGTAAGCTTACATCGATGAAAATTGTTTTTTCTCTGTTGATATTTATATATGGGCATCATATAGTACTCATGTCTACATAATTTGTGGAAGCCTTAAATCTGCTCTAAGACCTCTGATATACTATTCACTTATGGGGCTTTAATTTATCTGAAATGGTTATCTTGTCACGGGAAGTCGTGAAACCCCTTTGGAAGACCAGACAGTTGACATAAATTTATTTTCCAATCCAGGTCAAAGGAGAAATCGAGGATTTTATTAAGGCAGTTTATACCCTATTCCAAGGTATGTTATTTGTTAGGGATGTTAACTTAAATGTTAAATTATTGGTAGATTCAAAAACTGAAGTTGTTAGGTTAGTATTTGATATGTTCCAATATCACTGTTAGGCTGATCTGTCTTGCTATCAGTGTTAAGTCATCACCAGAGTGTAGTTTAGAAGTCCATTAGACTTAAAAATTTATGTAGTTTGGTTGAAGTAAATTTAATTCCTTAGTTTATTTTGTACGCGGATCACTTAATTTCAATTTATTGTGAGACAGATCTGGACTTTACTTTCTTGGAAATGAATCCTTTTGCGATTGTTGATGGGAAGCCATATCCTTTGGATATGAGAGGTGAACTAGATGATACTGCTGCTTTCAAGAACTTCAAGAAGTATGTCTAACGCCCTTAGTTATAACTGCATTTCATCCATTGCTTGTGCATCAAGTACAAGCCTAGCAAATTATATATTCTGATATATTTTTAACCTTATAGGTGGGGGAGTATTGAATTTCCTATGCCATTTGGTAGGGTTATGAGTCCTACTGAAAGCTTTATCCATGGTCTAGATGAAAAGGTAATGAACCTATCTGTCAAGTTTTTTCTTCATAGTTTTAATGCCCTTCTCCTTTAACATTTCTTCACCCTAGACGACTGATTTACATATATTCTTTTAGTCTGGAAATTCATGGAAAATGCTTCTTTGCATTCGAAAACCTTTTATTGGGTGAACAAGTAATGATATTTGGCCATTTTCTGTTTCGTTATACCAGTTGTCAGTGTGTTATTTGGGCATTTTTGTTCTTTTGTAATTCACGTTGAACTTAGTGCTCTTATTCTTGTATGCAAGTCAGTTTTTTTTTTTTTTTTTTTTTTTTTT